GGACACAAGGACCACAGGTTATATACTCCCATTCATGCAGAACTCCAGAACCGTAACCAGACTGCACAGGGAAACTGCACAGCCAGAAAGGGGTCACGGTTGCCTAGGGCTGGGGAGTGGAGGCCGGGAGGGTGAACTGGGGGTGGGCAAGGAGGGTGACGGCTGAGGCACACAGTGTCTTTCTGGATCAATGAAAATGTTCTCAAACTGACTGTGGTGTTGGTTGCACAACTTTGTGGATATAATACTAAAGGCTATTGAACTGTACACTTTAAATGAGTAAACTTCACGGCTTGTGAATTTTATCTCAATGAAGCTGTTAAAGTAGGATGATATGGAGGAGGGTGTAGCTCAGGGGTAGAGTGCATGCTATAACGCCCAAGGTCCCGGGTTCAATCCCCAGTACCTCCCTTAAAAATAAATAAATAAACCTAATTACCTCTCCCCTAAAAAAAACAAACAAACAAAAAAGCAAAGAGAAAAAAAAAGGACGGCACAGTCTTTGCTGATTGGCTTCGAAAGACATTCCTGCTCTGCAAAGGACCAGCTCTACTACACACCAAGTACACTCCTATTTGCATTTTTTAAAAACACGCATATACATGATATGGAAAGTATCTGGAAATACACTCCCCAGAAAGTTACACTAAGTGTCCCTAGGTGGGGGGATGGGACCTTTTAAAATATATTTTTCCATATTTTCTGAATGTTTTACAAGGAGCATGTGATGTTTTTCTATTAACAAATAGTATAACCATCTACCCTATTTTAAAAAATATTATAAAGTCATTAACGTTATAATGAAAAGGATAGTAGGAACACAGACTAAGGCAGTAGATTGCTCACATGACATCTCAAAAGTCCTTAGAACACGCACCACCCACACCACAGTCCCAGGACTCACCTGTGTCTAAACGAGCTAGTGAGTACTGTTACGTCAGTGAGTGACTGGGGAGAAGTCACGGCACTGGGTTTAGTTGCTAAACAACAGGAAACACTCCTTGTGCAATAGCACATCCATAATGATTAATACAGAGCAGGACAATTAAGAACTAAATGGTACCCTCATGAGCACACTTCCCCAGACACTTAGCTCAGAGTAACCAACTGGGGCTGCAGAGCACAGATCTCATTATGTTTAACAGAGAGCCCACATTGACTAGGGAAACTACATCAATAAAAGCCTCGCTGGAGATAATGGAATTTCAAACTCTCAAAACATTTGAACATGGTTTCAGTTACGGAGGCTGCGGTCTCCAAGAGAGCAAATTCAAATCCTTCCACGTTGTTCCCCTGGACTGATTTCATTCATGGGACCAGACTCCAAAGGCATCTGGGCAAACCACACACACCTGGGGAGGCAGTGACAAACGTTGCCTGAGACTGGGGCCACGCTGACAGCCCTCGGCAGGGACCCGGCAGAACACAGCCCACAGGCAGCCCCCCCACCTTCCCACAGGTCCACAGGGCCTCTGCATGGCCCGGGGGGCCCCTGGTTCATAAAGTCTCAGCGCGGATACAAGAGGGATGGAGAGTCAGAGGCTGCCTGTACCAACATGGACTCAGGTAGAGGGAAAGGGTAATTGAGTGAGCAGACCTCAACACGCCAGTTAGCGAACGGACTGACAGCTCTCTTCCACATTGCAGACAGACAGCACAGGAGCCCACAAAGTCCTTTTATAAGGTATGCACTTGGACACAAGGGGTATTAGAACCGAAGGATGCTGGGTCTGCATAGCTGGGCAGGATGGCAGGGGACAAAAATGAAGAAAACCACCTTAGATCCCAGGAGACAGATACACTGATTTCTGTGCTGTCAGGAATCCCTGTACATGGCAGCTCAGTACAAAAGCAAAGAGCTGTCACCCTGGCTTACGGGGCTCCATTTGTGTGGATAAACCAGGTTTTGAAAGCAGACATGCTAAAGAGAAGCTTCCTGCATTTTCTGCTGTTTCCCAGTTGAATCCATGACATGCCTACACTTCAGGGTCAAGGCTGTGATGTACACGGATCTCTATGAGGTTAAGAGCTCAATTTGTAGCATACATAACAGGTTAAGACTGTCCGGGACTTGAGGCTGACGACGTGGTAGTGGAGACCCAGCACAGGCTTCTGGTGGCTGGACTGACTCTCAGCTACACAGTACCCATCCTGTTATCTACATGATCATACAGTGTGCCATCTCTTGTCTAGCCAGCATCCTATCGGCTGATAGCTGGACAGCTTTCTATATTTTTGCTACCGCAAAGTTCCAATGTTACTGTGATAGTACGTGTATACACACACACACACACACACATTTCTTCACGCACTCATGCCAGGTGGAGTGGAGATAACGGCCAAGACCCAGATTCCTTGAAGTTAAAACTGCTCTGAATTTTGGGGAACAAAGTACAGAGTAGTGAATGGGGCAGAGAGGAAAGCCTGGTTCTGTCCACCTGCAGGCAGAGCTGAAGATGGAACCCCTCCTCTCCATCCACTCTTGCTTTGTCTGGGTCATGCTCGAGAAATGAAGACAAGGCACATGGCTAGCAAATGCTGTCTTGATTGAACATAACCGTTCCTGAGCAGTTTTCTATTCTAATCCATAGTGACGACACTTTTAATTTATGCTTTCACAGATCAGATTAAGTTCGTGCCAGGTTGGCATCATGTACTGGGGATGGGACATCCACACAACCAGGCTGTGTCTGGTCTTTAAGGTGGAGGTGACAGAAAAGAGAAACTGGTACTGATGGCAGGGGGAGGGGAACAGTAACAAACTAACAAGGCAAACATCTCTACATAGTGCTTTCCATGTTTCCTAATGAAACACCATTACGGTTCCGGAAAGAGAACACATCCACTACAAGCATTACTCATCCGTGAAGACTCCTGGGTACCATTACAAATTCCTGTCCATCCTCCCCCGCAACTCCCTCCAGAATGAAATACAGATACCTCAAGAAGATGTTTCAGGGTTTTGTTTTTTTTTAAACTTCGGGCATAAAGCGACAAACCCTAATGCTGAAAATGCCACACAACGTGGTATTTCAGGCTGCCTAAACCTGCGGGGTCTCTTGGCCGTGAGGTTTGCTACTGAGAGCACAAACATCGCCCCAGTCTCTGCTTCCCCGCAACCACCACAAAAGACCAGACTTTCTCTATCGTCGTTCACACACACCTTAAACAATGTGCTCTTGCTCAACAAGATGTGGGTTTTCAGTTGGCGTGGGGCCTGCCCTCCTGTTAGGTGGCGTGGCCCACGCAGCAAACAGGATACACATATACCACATCAACAAGGTAAAACTTAATTTTTCCTGACTGGTTTCCATGGTTTGTTTTCCAATGGGAGGAAAGGCAATTAGAAACTAGAAGACATTACTTTATGAATGAAACTTCTATCATTTACATTTTTACAAAGGGTCTTATGTGAAAAAAAAGGTTTCTGAACCACTCTGGTCTGGGAGACATGAAACATCCTTCGTGTCTGACATACATCCTTGCACACGTAATAAACAACTCCTGTCTCCGGGTCCTGACTACGAGCCAGCATCTTCTGGTCACTGCTTGCACGAAGCTGCCTGAAATCAGCAGGCGTGGTGACCATCCGGAGGCTCGGGACGTGGAGGAGAGCTCGGAGTATCATCAGGAGACACGCAGGTGCAGAGTGACCAAGCGGACGGCCTTCCCCAAGGGGAAGCTTACGAACGGGCCACGCCTGGGCGAGGATCTGGACCCAAGGTGTGCAGCCCGCGCGGACGCTAGGCCCGCGGCTGCCGAGGGCTGGAAATCGCCCTCCGCCGCCGTCC